CCCCCCCCCACCCCCTAACTGTGTTCTCCCCATTTCCGTTATTTACTTGAAAAGTGAACGTACTGTGACGTTCTACGAATTGCAGGATCATAGAATGTTTGGTTTTCATCTCATGAATTGCTTGATTTTCACCTCGAAGCGTATTGAAATGATAAAGACTGTAGGGCAGTTGTGGTTATGTTGATTGCCAGTGATTACTTCCAGATATTACATCCGCCGTTGCCCAACGTTATTTCTTGTTGGCCAGGAATGCCCGTTGTATGAAGTACCAAGTCCAAATTCAAAACGTGCAACAGTGTTTGTGCGCGATTTCCTGCTCACCTTTATCTATCGGCTTTTCTGGGCCAGTGATCATATTCCTCGAAGGTATGTAATATCCAGAGCTCGTTTATTTGTAATTACACAGCATATCATAAAAAAAGTTTTTTTTACCACTGATTAGGTTTAAAATGGTAATTATGGGCTTACACTTATTGTAGTAATTGCTGTTATGATTGTTGTTGCTATTTTGTCTTTTCATAATTAATGTTATTCAGGCAGAGTCTCATTCTGTAAAAAAAAAGTATTGTTGTTCGTGATTTTATTCATGATCGTTATTCGTGATATTCATGATTTTTGCACATATTTCATCATTTTAAGATTGAAAATGGAAGATATCAAAGAAGCATTTCCACACTACGCTGAAAGTTCGGTACGCAAGCGATTGAAACAGTGTTCAGATTTCAAGCGATTAGGTCAAGGCTCCGAACAAAATTATTGGGTAATTCGAAGCTTTTTTTTTAAGTCGAGGAGCATCACAATCATTACTGCACCAGTCTTGCCTTTTTTTTTTTTTTCAGCGATAAGTTTGATCTTCGCCATCTCAAAGGACGGCTAAAACGCGAGGAAATCGTTGAGTTGGTAATCTTTTCGGGCGACCGATCGGACACTAGGACTGCCAACGGATTGAGCAGAGTGGGGTGACCGAAGTAATTGGGAGAGTTGTCAGCAGCATAAATAGAGGATCAGGTCGTGCCAGTGTTGCAGGAGGCAAAGGACTTCCTTTAAATCCTCTTATCAAGATTACTAGGTAGACTGCGCTGCTGCTGACAAGCAATTGTACATTGGGAGGAGTGTGTAGAGCCATTCTTTCCTATGCTCTATGCACTTTTTGCGCGCTCCACGCGCTTCCGGTTTTCATCAGTACCTCTCACTGATGCGCAACATTCCCAGGTCGTCAGCAGTTAGATTTGCTTTCCGGCAATGTCGTAACGAAATGCTGCGATGGCAGTCATCTTTCCATTGTGTTAGAATTTTCAATTACAAATGTGCAACATTGTGAAAAATAAGCACTGGGTGTGACGGAGTGAGCAATGTAGCGAAAGGCACTTGGCATGCTTCATGGTGGTAATTCGGGTAATTAGATTCTTCGTCAAATGAGCAGGACAACTGGTAAAACTCGGCCCAGGCAAGTGCAGTGACTGGGGTGGGGCGCGGTAAGGAGTGCAGAAGGTAGGAGTTGAGGGAGAGGGCTGAGGGTAACGGTTTAGGTTTCGGTAGTATAAATGGCCAACGCACGGGCTGCCCGTGCGAAGATGCGTTTTTTGCAGTGTTCCCCGCAGGTTTTTGTCGCTACTGGCATCGGTTTTTC